AGACATACAAAGATTTACAAGCTTTTACAAGCTCTTTTCATCTAACAACCAATCACAAACCTCTCCCCCCTGATTTTCAGGGGGGGTGGGCCGTCCCGCTCACTTGTTGATTTTGCTGTTTTTTTGTTTTTATAGGTTCGATGCGCAGCGCACCGAGCGCTCTTAGCAACCGGGCACATCGGCCCTGTTGGGCCAGGCCCAGGTGGGAACCGCGTGGGCGCCAGTAAGCATTAGCGGCGCTAAAGCGCGGCTTAGGAGGTCCCCCAAGCTTACCCCACTACGTAATTTGATGAGCTTTTAGGTTGTGTTTGGTTGGACTTTTTATACCAACTTCTGCTTTGAAGAAGCTAAGAGCTAACCAAAGGGGCAAAATTTCACAACAGTTTTTGAGAATCTGTAATTTCTTTGTAGTGCAAATTCCGCAGCTGGGGTACCCCAACTTCTCTGCTTCTAAACCAACCGTTTTTAGCTGTCCCTCTGAAATTGAGTGGCATTTACCCACCAATGCCACTAGTAAGTTGTAAACCTTCGTTGCGTTTCTCCCCTCGCAGGAAAGACATGAGCAATAGGTCGACAGGAAAGGAGCCGCTGTCGCCGCCAGCGGCGCTAAAGGCACGGCTTAGGAGGTGCCCCAAGCTTACCCCACTACGTAATTTGATGGGCTCTTAGCATCACAAGTTAATACCATCGCTTAAAGGAGCTGATTAAAAAAATTGCTTCCCTAAAAAAAAGAGCTCATTTCTCTAAAAAAAAACAAGCTGGCACTTCCAAGTCAATCAAACGCAGTTAAATCACCCCATGGCCCTATAAAGAGAATCAATCATCCAATGTGTTCTTATTACATCTCTTTCATACTCTATATACAAGACATGAGCAGAGTTGAGCACCCTGAGTATAACATATTACCTTTGCAAGTGTCAACGAAAATTTGACATTATCAGGGAGGTGATAAAAGAACGTAGCACCGTTGACAGGAAAAGAGATAGCAAAGGCTGGTGCACACAAATGGCCAATCATAGAGTAAGAAATCCTCAGATATAAAGCCGCTTACACTCAGATGCCAATGCTTCGAACGGGCAATATGGGCATTTGAAAGACCGGGAGCTGCTCTTTGATAATTTCACAGTCGACTGCTTCGACAAGACATGCCCACATGGAAGAAGCATTGGAGGATTATCATCACTACCTTGCTCACGAAGCACAGGACAGATGAACACTGAGTGGAACTGAAAATCCCTGCGGAGGTCCAATGGGAAAGGAAATTCCTTCATAGAGTGCCACTCCCTTTTTGCAGTTAGTACCGTCATCAGTTTAAGAAGAATTGGCAACACTTCAGCTCCAGCTGCAACTGTCATGCCCATAGGACCTGTGGAGGATTGACCCTTCAGATTGCAGAACTGTTGAGCGAACTCCTCAGCTAGCTTCTCCCAGTTAGTTGGTACTAAGAACTCTGTATATGGTGACTGGTCAAGGCGCCCGGCCCATAATATGGAGGCTATCAGCTTCTGGATTACATCCTTGTGTATGGTAGCAAATGGCGCGAGGTATGTCCTAGCATACTGAAGAGCCTCATCTCTTTTTCCTTGCTTGAGTATCTCAACAAACTGCAACTGGTGAAGCTTAAGCTCGAGACAGGAATCGTTTTGCAGTAGTGCATCATGATTTTTCATTGCCCAACTCAGAGCTGGCTCAGATTTCTCAGTCCGCAGCGCACCAAAAATCTCATACATCTCCTGAAACAGTTGTTTCAGTTTTATAGATGCTAAGCAACTGGCCTCTCCTAGAAAGTTGTCACCTATGTCAAATAATGCCTCCCGGTATAGATGGTTTGCAATAATCTCATTAAGTACATGTGGTTCCATGTCGACATTCTTGTAAGCTTTTGAAATATCATTGATGAAGAATTTCTCGGTGGTCTTGACCCACTTGCCGAGTGCAGTGTTCATTTCTTTCTGGCAGCTCTCAAGTTGCTTCACTGGAACCAACTCTTTCAGCGTATTCTTCAGATTGGTAAGAATTTCATGGTTCAGGTTTGATGCAGCATCCCTATCTGTGCCATTTTCTTGGATAGCACCGATAGCCTGCTCAATTTCTTTCTCGATTTGGTTTACCAAATCTATAGTTCTCGACGATGCAAGTTTCTGCTTTTTAACAACACGATTGAATTCATCCTTCAGTGTATCTACTTCCATTTCTGACTAGCTTCAGCACCTGTTATACAAAATGGAAGACAATTTGATCAGTCAAAAGTCAAAACAGTAGGTTGCAAAGAAATGAACCTTAGATTCAAGTACCAAAGTTATCACATCATATATTACAAGCAATGTATTCAGATCAGTGGGATAGAGTAATTATGTAGAACACCCACTCTTCAAAAGATAGCCTTGCAGAATTATTATCAATAAGGAGCAAACTGACAGATGCGATTCTTCTACTAAAGGAGCAGCGTTCAACAGAAATTGAGATGAACGAATACAAATCGCAACACCACATCACACACAAACTCTCTATCTAACTCTGTATAGACGAAAATACAAAACAAACAATTGGACATATTCCCAGCAAAGTGATGTAAACCGAAATCAAATGTGCAGGCTGTACGCATAGCAGTTCAACAATACTGGCTTGAAATCACCATAATAAGAGAACTGGGCAAGAAAATAAAACGGGTTGCAGTATCACCCCCGCAAATTCTCGACATTTGATTTGGATCCCGACTCACAATTGCAACTCTAGAAAATACCAGTGTAGATTCCAAAGATGCTAAGTTCCTAACAACGCCCACCACATGCGCGCTTCATGAATGGCAGTTCTCACCACAGTCTACGAACACGCAAAATCCTATCACTTGGTCCTACGAGACAGTATGTTCTCTACAAAACCTCACCGCACAATCTACTCACAAACGGCCGTCTAAGTTTCCCTAACTGATAAAAGAGCACTGACCTCTCTTTATTCTTCAAGAAAACGCAATTCGCCTTCGGATCAGAGGAGAAGGACGGGGCGAAATCGAGAGGACCTGCGATGAGGTGGATGGATTGATCTGAATGCATAGGAGGCGATATAACCAAATCGAACCAAGACTGAAGAGGGAGACCGGAGAGGACGATTACCTGAACGCGAGAGCGAGAGAAAGCCGGTGGCGGTTTTGGGGGGGTCCTGTTCCGGCAAGCAATCTAGGCGAAACGACGAACCCTAGACCACTTTGGCGGCTGGATCTATTTAATGGGCCAGTTGGGTAAGACTTAGCGAGGAGTCAGTCCTTGACGACTGGATCAGCTTAATGGGCTAAATACTCGTTAATGCCCAAAATCTCAGAGTATGTTTCTGCGTTTTTTCTGTCTGTCCTAATTCGTTTTTATTTTTTTCATCTCTTTTTTATTACTTTTTATAAAATTCAGGAAATTCATTAAAAATCACGAACAAATTTCAAATTCATGACCTTTCGTGGAAATCATGAACAATTGTAAAATCCATAAACTTTCCAGAAAATATGAGAACAAATTTCAAATTTGTGCATAATTTCAAAATTAAGATTTTTATTAATTAGTAAACTTTTTAAAAAATATATATTCAAGATTTTTTAACTAGAAAATATTATAGAAATAATTAATTTTACAAAATTCATGAATTTTTTCAAATTAATGCATATTTTTCTAAAAGTGGGAACATCTTTTAAATTTGTGAACATTTTTTTAGTCGGGAACATTATTTTACTTTGGGAACAAATTTTTAATATGCTAATTATTTTTATTCACGAATACTTTTGGAATAGGCAAATATTTTATGAAATTCAGAACAGACTTTGAAATTTGTGAACATTTTGGAAACTCAGATTTTTTTCCAAAATTCTTGCATACTTTTGAAATACCAACACAATTTCAAATTTGTGAAAATTTTCAATTTTTTGTGATTTTTTTTTGAAAATCCGGAACATTTTTTAGAAAAGCAGCAAAACAGAAGCAGAAAATAAAAAGGAACAAATTGAACGAAAAATCTATACACCTTGCCTCGAAATGGGCCGGCACAGAGCGCACGCGGGGTGTCTGCGCTGGCCTATGCGAAGGCCGAACCTGCCTAGCTCACTACGGTTCCAACCTTGTCTCAAAAAAAAATAACTACGGTTCCAACCAGTGACTTGCTGGTTTCAAATACGCCGCAATAACCGCCCATCCACCTCCTTTGGACATGGATGATTACCTTCTTTTCAGTTGATTTACATACTGTTTTTTCGAACGGTTTCATTCGTTTTTTCTTTTTTATCTTTTCTTACTCTTTCTGATAAATGATAAATGCGCGAACCTTTTCAATTTTTCTTTTTTTTGTAAATCAATGAACTATTTTTCACTTTGCGAACTTTTTTGTAATTTGATGAACTTTTTTTCAAACCAATCGACTTGTTTCAAAATCAATGTCATTTTTCCAAGTTTGTGAACTTTTTTTAAATAGATCAACTTTGTTTCAAATTAGTGAGCTATTTTTCCGAATCCGTGAACTTGTTTTAAATTTGTTAACCTTTTTATTAGATCACCGTGAAGTTTTTTGAAAGTTATGAACCCTTTTTCATTTTGGTGAAAGTTTTTGTATTCAATTTTTCGGATTATTTTTTAAGATTCAACGGTTCAGAAACTGGGCCTGACATTCTACAGAATGGGTGGGCGCCGGTTCTCCTAGCTGGCGCATTTAGTCTTTCAGGTTTGGGGAAGGGTACAAGTTTCCCAAACTGGTTTTTGTGTGTGTGTTTTCCTTTCGGGTTTTCTGCTTTTTTATTTTCGTTCTTTTCTTTCTTTTTTTCATTTCATTTGTTCTTTTCTTTGTTCATTGTCTTTTTCTTTTTTGTTTTCTTCTTTTTTGAATTCGTGGAATTTTTTGGAATCATGAAATTCTTTAAAATCGTGAACATATTTTGAATGAACAAATAATTTTTACAAAAAAATGATGAGATAAGTGAACATTTTTTTTGAATTGGATAACATTTTTATAAAATTGGGGGAACAATTTTTAAAGTTCACTAACATTTTTTTTGTTTGGACAAAAAATTTGAAAGGCATGAATATTTCGTATTACATGAACATATTTTGAATTGTTGAACTTTGTTGTAATTGGCAAATATTTTATTGAATTTTGTGAAAAGTTTTTAAAATAATATGAATTTGCAAAAAAAAACAATTTCATGTAGATTTTTTTGATTCCTGAACTTCATTTTCAAAATCGTGAACTTTTTTGAATATCCAAACATTTTTCTAAGTCACAAACCTTTTTTGAATGTGCAAACATTTTATGATTTCTTAAATATTTTTTCTAGAAAAATAATCTAACTTTTCTGAAATCTCAATTTATTTGCGAAAGAAAAACAGAAAAGAAGAAATAAAAAGAAAAAATGATTAAAAAATCAAGAGGCCCGCATCTGGCCGGTCCAAAAGGGCGCGCTTGGAGAATGGGGATGCGGGTTAAGCCGCCTCCCTGTGCACACGGCGCCAAATAGGCGCCCCTCCCTTTATGAAATAGGGGGTGTCCCCTATCTGTCGAGCTATATATGATACGGAGTCCACTCCATAAAGGCTGGGCCGGTAACATACTTATTGTATTATTGTGTTTCGTTATTGTTGCACCGGATTGTAAAGGTGTGGTGCAGGATATAAAACTTGGCATTGGTGGGATGTGTGCACCTATCGTGAAGGAGATCAGAGAGACAATGAAGATTTTCCAACAGTGCACCGTCATCTATGAAGGACGGACTACAAATCAAGAGGCACATAGCCTGGGGCGCCATGTGTGGCTTATAAACCCCTCAGATTTAAATTGTATCCCTATAAACATTATTCAATAAAGTAAAGTGTGTTTAGACTCAAAAAAAACACTAAACACAAGACAAAGCGAATATGTAGAAGGTGTAATGTGGTTATACACATGAAAAAATTGACACTTGATTCATATACTTTTCGATGTTATAAAAAAGTGCTTCGTTCATATACCCAGTAACAACCTTATTGTATTACTTTGTTTTTCCACTTCTACTTCATTAATACCCCTAAAGAAAATTCTATTTCATTTGTGTACTTTTGAGTATTCTTGATTTTTTTTAATTAGGATTTTTTGTGTAAAGACATACTATTTCTATAGATACACGTTTTTTAGAGCACATGACTTTGTTGCCCCATCGAGATGACATGAGATTAATAAGTATCTCCCAACCTGTTGTTAAAACACAAAGTTAATGAGTAAGAGGCATGTACGATGTCCTCCTATCTGTCACATTTCAAAAATAAAAAAATGGATGTGAACAGATAATTCAGCCGTTTTGAGACGATCAGATGATTGCCATGTTGGGGAATGTTATATGCAATTTCAAAAAAAAATCCTACGCTCACGCAAGATCTATCTAAGAGATGCATAGCAACGAGAGGGGAAGAGTGTGTCCACGTACCCTCGTAGACCGAAAACGGAAGTGTTTGACAACGCGGTTGATGTAGTCAAACTTCTTCTCGTTCCGACCAATTAAGCACCGAACGTACGGCATCTCCGAGTTTTGCACACGTTCAGCTCGATGACGTCCCTCGAACTCTTGATCTAGCAAAGTGTCGAGGGAGAATTCTGTCAGCACGACGGCGTGGTGACGGTGATGGTGAAGTGATCCACGCAGGGCTTCGCCTAAGCACTGCGAGAATATGACCGGGGGTCTAAACTGTGGAGGGGGCGCCGCACACGGCTAACAATTGATGTTGTGTGTTCTAGCCCCCCCCCCCACATATATATATAGATGGGAGGGGAGGAGAGGCAGCGAAGCGGCGCCCCAAGTAGGCCGAATCCTACTTGGGGTCTTCCCCAATTCGGCCTCCCCTCCTTTCATAATTGCCGGAGGGGGAAAAGGGAAGGGGAAGGAGAGAAGGAAAGGGCGGGCCGAACCCCCTCTTTCCCTTCTTCCACTTGGCCTCCTTCCATGGGGGAGCGCGCCACCCCTTGTGGGCTGGTGTGCTCCCCTCTCATGGCCCATATGGCCCATATATTCCCCCGGGGGGTTCCGGTAACCCCTCCAGTACTCCGATGAATACCGGATACACTCAGAAATACTTTCGGTGTCCGTATACTATCATCCTATATATCATCTTTACCTCTCGACCATTTCGAGACTCCTTGTCATGTCCGTGATATCATCCAGGACTCCAAACAGCATTCGGTCACCAAATCATAT